AAGACAAAATGTACATATATATACGAAAAGGAGGATGAGGATAGCCTTCAAGTCATGGTAAAGCTATGTATTATGCAACCGTAGATTTTGTTCAGTGTTCAGGTGAAAAGTGAGGAGCAAAAACACAATGGTTGCCCATTAGCTGGTTTCTGTGAAACTTCCACTGTTAGTTACATTTGAGTAGCAAAATGTTTAAAAGGGAATACAAATGTGGTAAGACCTACGAGTCTGTCAAATGCCACCATTCCTATTTGCTCCAAGAGCAAATAGTTTTGATATTGACTGTAATGCTTATGTATATTGGCGTACAAAGGCCGTTTTGCTTTCGCACAGCAATATACTTGTATGTTTCCTAATAGCACTTACAACAAAATATATACATATTGCTGGTGTTATTTTCCCTTTTGCAAAGTTACAAGTGAATTCTTATTCTCAAATTAAAACATTTGGGGTCAGTAAGATTTATATTTTTATTTTTTAAAGAAATTAATAGATAAATTCAGCAAGGATGCATTAAATTGATAAAAAGTGACAGTAAAGACAATTGGGATGTAAAAAATATATATTTCTCTGTCAAATAAAAGCTGTTCTTTTGAACTTTATATTCATTAAAGAATCCCGAAAACAAAAATATTAAGCAGCAAAAACTGTTATTAACATTGATAATAATAATAAGACATTTTTATTACACTGAAGATTGCTGAAAAAAGCTGTAAATTCAGCTAATTTACTTTTTTATTTAAATAGAAAAAAAGTAGAAAATGGTCATTTTAAATTGTAATAGTATTTCACAGTATTACTGTTTTTTTAATTAGTTTTTTTATTTGAATTAAATAAATTAAATAATAGCAGTCATTGTGAGCATAAGAGGCTTCTTTCAAAAACATCAAAAAATCTAACTGACTCCAAATGTGTATATCGATATCTTATTTACTAGAGTGATATGAAAACCAAGAAGCATTTATTCTATGATGATTTGATTTAGAAAGTATACTGTATGCTAGTGTTTGAGGTGAGATGCTTAAAATATTCTTAATAACGTTTGTGCTTATGTAAGAAAAAAAAACAGCTTCTTAATGCTGGCTGTAATTTGTAATAATGAGGATCCACTTATACAAATAATACAGAGCCATGAGTGTGACCCTGATTAAAGCTCTTTTTAATGGTGTCTTCCTCTCAGACACAATGAAACCTATTCGTTCTGTGTATCAGGGACTATAAGGTGTTTCCAACAACATGGTATTTAGCATATTTTTGTAATAGGTAACAGTAATATTCTTTAATATATCTTAGAATTCATATTTTGTGATTGTTCTCATTTCTGTTTTACATTATTAAACCAACGGGCATGTAACATTGTTAATGTTACACGGGGACAGCGAGGGTGAAACGTATATCTTGTATACTAAATATAATAGGGGTGCTGTATGTATATGATATATCTAGGGCTTCATTTATGTTTTATTGAAAGACATCTTACGTAGTATGTTAAATTTTTTTTCCAAATATGTTTTAACATAAATATGGTTTTAAAAGCAAAATAGACATATAGCATGTTTGGGGAGTGGGTATGAATTAAGACATTCGATCGTTTATTTGTGGTCGTCTATCTAAACTTATTTTAATTATAAATACTCATATCAGGTAATACTCATATTGTTTACTAGTTAGGGTCAATGGGTGTATGTGAGTTTGTATTGAACATCCTCATGATAATTAAATACGTTTTATTTTCCTTTGTTTTTAATTAATATGGTTATTAAGTTACTGGACAGAAATGAGAATGTTATTTTTTTCTTGCCAATTCATAATGTGTGAAAGTGAACAGCGTGTAGAATATTGCAGATTAAGTATTTGGTCATAAAATGTCAATGATTTGTGAAAGCATAACAAGGTGTTCAAACTCTGGCCACGTCTGTGATTATCTATGCGTATACAGAAGAGATTTTTGTATTATTGGGAGTTATTGTTGCATTACTCTGGGAAGAGGAATTCTCATAAACTTAAATTATGAGTTTTTGGACTCCCATCAGTCATACCTTGCGCAGGTCTGTGCCAGAGGCGTTATGGGGCAGGTTTGTACAGATGAGATACCAGTGTAATTATCTGCTTGCTCTGTTGTTTTCATCTTGACCTTGTTCGAGAGAGAGGGAGAGAGAGTCTTTCTATGGTTATAGACACAGTTTCTGTTACATATATACATGCTGTTGGGAAAATAATAAAGCTGTTACATTCTACTATTGCTGTTTGTGTTGTATGTACTCTGTGCATGCAAGTATGTAATAGTAATTTCTATCTTAACATTTCAAAAATGAAAAAAAAAAAAAAAATTTATATGCTCACCTTTCATGTCATTCTAAACATGGAACGTGGAACTTAAAGATATATTTCACAGAATGCCCATCTGCTTTTTGTAGAATCACAATAAAAAGAGGCTGTAGGGCTACCAGAATGACAAAACAATAGCCATAGCTATTATTCATATGACTTGAGTGCTGTCTCAAGTCTTCAGAAGTCGTACAATAGCTTTAAGGCTGGTATTAAAACATTACGCACTGGAAATCTGGACATCCGCCCTCGCTCTACTTAGCAAGTTCCTGAGAGTTCATGAGAGATGGCTGATCCGGCTTCTCAAGTGACTCACTGACTCATTGATCCAGACAGCTGGAGGGGAAGAGTTTCAGAGATTTATGACTTTTTCTCTGTTCCTCATACAAAGCTGCTGCGTGACTTGAATTGAAATATATAGACCAGTGTTTGTCAACTCCAGTCCCACTGGATCCACTGCTCTGCACATTTTGTATGTCTACCTTATTTAACTCCGCTGATTCATTAACTTGTTAGGAAAGAGATCCACAAACTGAACTGTGTCAAATAAGAGAGATGTACAAAATGTGCAGAGCAGTGGATCCCCAGGACTGGAGCTGAGAAATACCGATATAGACCACTTTAATGATGCATGTATGTTAATTATGCTTTTGTGTCCTTTTTGATGCTTAAAAGCAGTGGTATTTTAGTATTGTTTATATACTGTTGTAGCATCTATTTACTCCTATCTATCTATCTATCTATCTATATATATATCTATCTATCTTAGTTTTAGTAATTTTGTTAATGTACTTCTGATATTTTATTAGTTTTATTAGTACTTCAGCTTTAACTAATTTAAGTTCAAATTTCTAATGTTACAGTTTTTAATGTTTATATCATTATCTTTTATTATCTTTTATTGTTTCGTTACTTCATAGTTAATGCATTAACTAACATCAACAATTTGTTATGGTATTCATTAATCTTTGTTAATGCTATAAGAAAAAATACGACTGTTCATTATTAGTTCATGTTTACTCAGGTCCATTAATATTAACAGATACATCTTCTGATTTTAATAATGTATTAGTAAATACTGAAATCAACTGGAATGGCTGGAAAAGAGCAACCAGCACTTTCTTCAAAATTTCTCCTTTTGCGTTCCACAGTAGAAATAAAACTATACAGATTTGTAAAGACGTGAGGGAGAGTAAACAACGACAGAATTTTCATTTTTGAAGCTCAGTTTTGTAGTGATGCCATAGAACCATTTTGTGTTTGTGTGAACATTTATAACATTTTAATAATCTAGATAATCTTTTTTTCTGTTACCGTTTCCATTTTACCTTTTGTGCAATGGAAAGGTTCCATGGATGTCAAAAATTCTTCATGGAACCATAGATGCTAGTAAAGAACCTTTATTTTTAAGAGGGAAAACTATCCCTTGACAAA